CGACGAAGCCAAATATCACCTGTGTCTTTCTGGAGATCCAGAAGCAAGCTCAGCGGGTTTGGCTGGTGTAAGTATAGCACTAAGTGGCAAGGCCGAGGCAACACTAATGAAAGGGTTCCCGATTAGCAGCCGACTATGTGCAGTTCGGCTTCGGGGTTCATGTAGAATCAAGAAGCACCGCGAAAAGAGACGCAGCTTGTTTGTGATCGCCGTGTACGCTCCAACTGACTGCAGTGGCGACTCGGTCAATGACGAATTCTATCGGGATCTACATCAGCTCTTGACTAATGCTAAAATGTCGGATGTCGTTGTCCTTGCTTGGGATTTTAATGCACGGGTGGGCCGCGTATTTCCATACGAACTTCACCTTGGTGGTCATCACGCGCTCAATGAGAACCGCTCTGATAACAGAGAAAGACTTCTCACATTGTGCGAAGACAATCATCTGTTTCTCTCGAGTACTAACTTCAGGCGTACAAAGAAGCCTTCCGAAACGTGGTGTCCCTCTTCCTCAACACAACCGTGGTCTCAAATTGATCACATTGCACTTAGCTTCAGAAGGCGCGGCAGCGTACTGGACTGCAGATGGTTTTGGTCCACCTTCGTTGACAGATCATGCTCTGGTCTGCGCGAAAATCTGTATGTGTTTTGGAGGATCCTGAAACACGAAGCACCGCAAGATTGATGTAAACAGGTTAACTGATTCCTCTGTCCAGGCGAGCTATCAGTCTTCACTGGCATATGCACTCAGTTGCAATCCACCGCAAGAAGTGGAACAATACTGGACTTGTATACGGAAAGCGATGACCATTTCCGGACAGTCAAGCTGCGGCCTAAATCGACGCTTCTTGAAGGCTTGGAACTCTGCTCATTCCCTGGAGCTGTTCGAACGCCGAAAAGATATCCCCGCGGAATCAGATTGCAACGAGCGGGGCCGTTCTGCCAATCGGCTGTTCAAGCAAAGTACACGCAAGGATCGCGAGACACGGTGATCTGAGCATGCTTCAGAGATGGAGACCACTGTCCTCTCTCGCAACACTCGCAGGCTTTGCAACTCATTCGGTCCACTGGCCTAAGGAAGCCTGGTGTCAGTGAGGTCATTTGCGAGGTGGATGAGTCTCTGATCAACAACCTACAGAGGTGTATGGACCGCTGGGCCGAGCACTTTCACTCGCAGTTCAACTGGCCTCCACCATCCATCAGTACATACGGTACACCTTGTTGTCCGCCCTGGCGGGTCCCGTCGAATCCACCTAGCGGAGCGGAAGTCTGCCTCGATAATCGACGCTTGAAGCGGTTCAAGGCTGCCGGCTCAAACGGACATCCTCAGGAGCTGTTCAAGTACGGCGGCGTGGCGATCATTAACCAGCTGACCGCGCTGTTCTCAAAAATCTGGCATGAGTAGAAAGTGCCTTCTTCTTAGGGCGAATCAGTTATTGTCCCGATTTTCAAGAAAGGCGCTCGCACTTCATGTGCAAATCATCGCGGGATTAGTCTTATTTCGGTTGCCTCTAAGCTATTGGCATCCATTCTGCTCCCTAGCTTATCCATAATACGTGAAGAATCCTACCGTGAAGAGCAAGCTGATTTCCGTCTTGGCCGCGGATGAGTGGATCAAATGTTCACGCTTCGCCAGCTCCTCAAACATCGCCACACATATCACAGGCCCATCATTGTTGCCTTCCTAGACATACTTACCGCTTTTGACTCCGTTGATCGACCTGCTTTATGTCGTTGAAAACTCAGTTTTCTAGCGAACATGTCTCCAATAATTCATCTTCAGGCTTGCACAGTTATGTGCCAAAAAACGACAAAAATATAGACAAATCACAAGGACGGGGAAAACACTCATTTTACAGTCACCCGTCACTGTGAATCACTGCCCCCTTAGGCACAGTTGTAGCAGGTGCAAAATTCCTTGGTTTGGACGGAGCATTTCGTCTGGGTTAAGTCAAGCGCAGCGTGTGCGTGAATGTTCCTGGACGCAAAATCATGTCTCCTATAGTCTGATCGCTAATCTCTCAGCCGATTCAAGTAAACGCTCTCGAAAGCACTTTGATCCAGTTTTAGATGCTGCATAGATAAATTTGAATGCATCGGCTAGATTGCGGGAATGGCCCGCAACGGCAGGGTGAGTGACGATGGATGAGCTGGTTAGCTTTTAGCGTTGTTTGCTAAAGAACGGAGTGCCAGAGAAATATACCGCCATCTTACTAGCACTTTACCTTCATACATCCGACAGAGTGAGGGTCTTGGGCAAAATTTCCTCGCAATTCGCTGTTAATGGCGATGTGCGCCAGGGCTGCCCAACGTACCCATTCCTCTTCAACTTCGCAATCGAAGACGTGCTATCGAATGCTCTAGAACGTTTTCCAACATTTTGGTCTAACGCTTCTACCGCGTGAGCGCGTGACCGACTTAGATTATGCAGATGATATCGCCTTACTTGGTGACGATCCTCAGGGTATGCAACTCATTCTTGATCGTTTGGCGGTTGAAGCATCTAAGTATGGCATGAGTTTCGCCCCATCAAAGTGTAAAGTACTGCTCAAGGATTGGCTTTCACCTGCTGTCGTGCTCACTCTCGAAAGTGCACAACTTGAACAGGTAGATAGTTTCGTCCACCTTGGAAGCTATGTTTCTGCTGACGGCACCATCAACAAAGAAGTTTCTCTTCGTATCGCTAAAGCTCAGTCAGCATTTGTCAATCTGAGGCACTTGTAGCCTTGTCGCGACGTCTCATTCTCGCTTAATGGTCGCGTTTACAGCGCATTTGTTTGCTCAGTATTGTTGTACGGGAGCGAGTCTTGGCTGATTCGCGTGGAAAACATGCGTCGTCTTTCTGCCTTCGATAACGTTTGCTTAAAGAGGATTGCTCATGTTTGGTGGCAACATCGACTTAATAGTAATGACGTTCGACGTCGCATCTTGGGGAATGCGAGTGGTCCCTTCAACAAATTGTTTTGTTGTGCCAGTTGAAATCGCTCGGTCACGTCCTACTCATGGCACCTGAGCGTCTACGGCATCGCGTTCTATTCGCTCGTCAAGGACTTAGCTGGAGGCGACGGCGTGGTGGTCAGCCTTCCACATGGCGGCATTACATGAAATAGCTGACGTCATGTCCAACCGCTGTTGGAGTCGTACGTCTTCTAGGATGGTGATCCAAAGTTGAGGAGTGGCAATGGCTTAGAACTCTTGAAGACATGGCCCGCAACCGGAATCAGTGGAAGAATTGTGTACAGTATTGTATTGATTCACATGTATAACACTACAAACATTGAAAATGACAAAAAAGAGCAAAATCGGCGTGTGAAAAACAAATTAGGAATGCTTTGTTCTACTTTTTGACAAAATGTTCCATTCTTCTTACGGCATATTAGTTGAAGTGTGTTGCTCACCTTCAACTAGCATGCTACGATGATTATGACGCGATGACTCTTGCTTATCCGATGATCTCCATGGTTTTAGTTTGACTCTGTGTCTAGTTGATCGACTTATGGAGGAACCGATAAAGGAGAACACGCAGTCAGTCTGTTTTACCTCACATATAAAATATCCTGATGCGCCTTTACGTCTGACGTCCGTAAATCACGAAGTATGCCGAAATATACGTGTACGTAGAGCCCGATCGTGAATAGAGCAGGCAGCGATGCGCACAATCACAGCAATCCAGTTACAAGCAAGGGAGAACCACGGAAGACGAGCTCGAAACCAAGCGTATGTATTTATAGTTAATTAAAACAAAGCTGTACAACAACTGCAGCGAAATAGGTAAGCGTGAAAATGAAAAACAAGCAAATTAGTTACAAGCGCTACAGACTGTTGAGATTACTACTACTACTACTGCTACTACTACTACTACTACTACTACTACTACTACATTATGTAGTCCATAAACGGACCGCGATTCTTGTTACTAAGTTTTTCTGACCGCCGTCCAGGCTTTGTGGTTGTTTCCAGACGGCCACTTGGCCTAATGTAAATATGGACTGTTTTATTTCTGATTCTCTCTTTAACTTTCTCCAATTAGCTATGCTGCTACCATGCGAAAGAAGCATTTCCAGCGTAGTATAGTCTGATATGCCAACCATCTTTCAAAATATATTGCAGGATCCACTTCATTGTATTTGCAATCACTAGGCTGCTGTATGCGAGGGATGATCTCGTCCATATATTCTTCCGATTTCTGTTCCAACTTGGAAAAGTATTTGGCTGTAAACCCGTTTTGCAGAGCACTAAACGGATCCAAGGTGCTGGCGACGGTTGCACGGACGACTCCAATATGTACGGTGCCGATGTATCGCTAGTCTTCAGCATCAAGGTTCTTCCGTAGAAACTTGCTATTGTGTAGTTCATTAAGAGACACTTGCGCAGTTAAGAGTGGAAGCAGTTTCACATAACCAACGACGATTTTTCGTTGTCTATTCCAGCTGGCCGTATATAGTTTCATTGCATAACGACCAGCGTTGTATCGGGACCTTCACAAATGACATTATAATCCTCGTCGCCAAATAATACGACTAGGTTTCGGTACCTAAGTATCAAGCGCGTATGCTCTGTGGGGGCCGTAACGCAAACTTAGGGAGGTCATGTCTGAACATGGTGTAGTGTCATCTACGACTGATAAGAAATCCCGACCGCCTTCATAGGCGAGGTGAGTGTGTGTTGTGTGCGTGTACGCGCGAGCATGCACGTGGGTAGTATGCTGAACTTTGGGTGATTCTGTGGCAGGCTGCGGTCCTAAAACAAGAAGGTCCTAAAAGGATGAAACGGTGGTTTAAAATGTCCTAGATGCACGACGGTCATCTTCACAGACTTTTTTTATCTTCCTTTAGCTGTTGTCGTTGAAAAAGTATGCCTTTTCACGGTCCTTGTTGGGTGTCTTTTATAAATAACTAGAGAAAGGCCCGAAAGATACGTCTAACTGTATGTGAAACTAAAGCTTTTCTCCGTACAATATTGTTTGCCTTCAAAGGTTTTATCTTCTTTCCGCCACGCAGAATGCTATGTGTGCCTGCAGCCGTTTCAAAGAAGTTTGAGGATATGGTATACGCCTTCACGATGGAAGACTTTGGCAAAGACCTGGGTGATTCAGTACGGAAGGACTTTACTGTATACGGGCAATACAATGAATTGGGATACTTTTATATACTCTCTCTTCTCCTAAACCTATGTGCCTGTCTGCGTAACGAGGTGAGTCCGTGCGGTCAATAAACTACCTAACGTTGCATAATTAGGAGCGGCTTGGTGTCATATTTTGTAGGGAATAATATTCCTATCAGAGCGATGTAATACCTTGTTGGTAGGATTGCGCTAGTCACCGAATGCTAGACAAAAGTGGGCTCCGTGTTTGCTGGATAAGTCGGGTGATGCCTCGCTCCTAAACCAGGATCATCTAGATCTGTTAGCTCTACTCAATCTCCCGGCATCGCTTTCATTGAACAAGGTAATGAAAGAGGTATGTCACAGAACTTTATATGTCCACCGGAGCATCACAATTTACTCAGGTAACTTAAGGAAATAACTGTCGTCATGCCGGTGAACGAGTGCGGACAGGACAGTAAAGGCGGACAGGTTAGCCTTCATGATGACGAACCGGGGCAGTCCGCATTCGGCGAAAGTGGTTGCTAGACAGCCGCGGTCACCCACCAATTTCGTGCGATGGGTGGTATACTGAAATATAAAGTTATCTCTAGGCCTACTATCTTCCACTAAGCCTGCATTTGTCTCTCGACGCGAGGTGAACCATCCATATCGTGCTCCGTGTTTCCAGTATTTTGTAACTGACATCGTGTCGCATTTCGATGTATTTACACTTCGTTTTGTTTTGACGAGCTCCATCTACTGAAAACATTTTCGCTGGAATAATCCCCACAGAGATTGTTTCTATGGGATTTATAGAGTTGGGTAATTTTTCGCTGTTATTCACTAGTGGAATTTTACACAGTTACAATCACTTAACATGGATTTTTCCTCTTGCGGTATAGAAGTCTCCCAGCTTTCGATCATGTTTTCACTCATCTCATTCCATCAGCAAGTATCCCAGCCACAGAACAAACTGCGTTCCCGTTGTGAAAGTTTCTCTTAAAAGCAACCATCAACTTTCAGTGCTCCTGATTTCAGCCAATGTGATCAACCGACCTGCCCAGCACGATAAGTCTCTACATTAGGCGCCCCACCCGCGATCGTATGACTCACGGAAGCAACACACAAAGCACGATGAGCAAGTCGTCTAAACTTGACCTGATGATCAGCGACCGGGCACCAGCAGATGGCGAGGCGGTGCTTAACCGCTAAACATGTAACGACCATTCTGCCATCATGGCCACAACACCGGAAACCGGCAATGAAGCACGTTTGCTAATAAAACATGCGCTAAGGTAGTAAAAACAGGGTTGACATGTACCCATTGCACTACCTGTTAACGTCGGAAGCAAAGTAATGTCAGAAATTGGCATATGCACTTTTGGTAGGTGAATATTCAGCTACAACATGCAGGATTTCAGCAGTGTACAGGAATATAAAGCAATTACAGCAAAGTACCATTAATCGGTTTGATTAGAAACGGACAGAAACTCTATCATACTGCGAATCTTCTGGTTAGGTCTTGAACGACAGCTTTGGGTCTCGCAGAAAAGGCGAAAGATAAGGGATAATCGACAAGTAGTAAGCTTGTGTGCGAGTATGTATCACCTTGTACTTCTGCCCAGTAGACGAGATTGACAGACATTCAGATGAAGCGTTATGAAGCAGATGGCTTGTATCGGCCAGTATTTTAGATGCCAAGTTCTTACATGGATTGCTTTGTGCAGGAAGGAGTGTGCTGACAAAAGTAGGCATCGGAACACCGCTAAATCGGGTTAAATGTCGTAAGGACATGACAATTAACTTAAAATGCTTACCCAGGAGACCGGGTAAACTCACAGAGTAGCAGTACGTCCAACTCAACTCAAGTCAAGTCAAGAAATTGCTTCATGCACCCTGCATGGGTGAATATTCAGCTACAACACACATGATCTCGACAATGTATCAAAAAAGCAAAGCAGTGGCAAAACAACAAGACAAAGAAGGGGTGGATAAGGACAGAAATCACAAACAAGTTGAAAGTCGACTGGTTAAGTCACCGATGACAGAGGTGGGATCTCACAAAAGACGCGAGATGTCAGGGATGACTTCGAACGGTAAGCTTGTGTGGGCCTAGATTAGCTATTACTTCTGCCTAGTAGGTGAAGTTGATAAACATTCAGATAAGGCAGTATGTAGGAAATGACTTGTATCGGTCAGTATCTTAGAGGCCAGATTTTTACAACAACCCTTGTATGTAGAAATAAGAGATTCAGTAAAAGTATATATCGGAGCACCGCTACATCGGGCTAAGAGTACTTTAATGATCAGACAATTAACTTAAAATGCTTACCCAAAAGACCGGGGAAGCTCTCAGGGGAACGGCACGTCCAATGGGGAAGAAGTTGGGAAGGACACAGGTACTGAGAAATCAAAGGATCAACTCACGAAAGACAAAGGAGACTCTTAGACAAGGGGTGTAGAAGGCAACCTTCGGGTTTTTGTGCGAGTTTCTTTTACTTAAAGTATCCAAGATGAATCATACTTCAATACCACATATACGTAGTTCACTGATGTAGCAGAGTGCAATACATCACCGTCATTGAACGGCCTTGGATGCAGTGTAAGGAGTTTCACGTACCTTGTTTCTTTGTGTAGCGAAAAAGGTTTATCATGACCCTTTGCTGCATCAGGTGACAGATGACGTGCATTGAGTTAATGTTGAGGTCATTCAGATGATCTTGCAGCCTAAGTAAGAAATCAATGGTTCGATGATTGATGCTGTTGTCAACATATTTCAGTGGGGTCGCCTCTGCAATGGCTGCTATTGAACTGACGTAAGTATAAAAGAGAAAAGGCGACAGAATTGCGCCTTGAAGTACGCTAGACATGGTGCTTAGGGTGAAGGAGCATCTACCACTGAGTCGGATAAGCTGAGTGCGTCCAGTAATATAATCGCTAAGCAAATGGACAAAGGAGTGCTGTATTCCTTGAATGAGTACATCTTTCAGCAGCAGTTCGCAGTTTGCGCATCCGAATGCATTGCCATAGCCGGAGAAGTACATACGAGTTGATTTATTACGGCTGTCAAGTGACGACAGTACAGGTGGTACGAGGCATGCAACTGCATCTAAACTAGACCTTGAACTGCGATAAGCTTATTGAAGGAGCTCAGTGGAACTAGTTTGGGACAGCGTCATTTCAAGAATGATTCTCTCAAGAAGCTTTAAAGCACTAGAAGTGTAAATGATTGGTCGATAATTTTGCACAATGAACAATGAACAATGATTTATCACGGGATAAAAGCAAGTGCTTGACACGTCCCGTAGGATGGTTATGGTGAATATGATGAAACCAAAATATATCTGAGTCACCTACCGAACGTCTGCCTAGATGAATACTTCGATAAATTGCATCAGTGTAAAATTTACAATAAAAACGTGCGTAAACGTTCAGAAAGACACTGGGGTGAAGTGGTCGTTGATATAAGACGTGAAGAAAGTAAAATATGATCGCTCACTTGGGTCCATTTGATAGATAAATCCTGTTGAAAAGCATGCTCGGCGTAAACAACAATAGAGGAGTTTACGTAACAAAGTGTTAGAAGCTAAGAGCAACATCTAGTCGTTTTTTGAAAACATCCAAGGTAGGAGAGGATACAACTGAATCTGGGAGTTCGTTCCAGGGTTGGCAAACCCGAAGGGAAAAGTAATTCCGTCCACACTCTAGACGGCTATATTGTTCCTTCAATTTTAAGCAGTTACCCCTGAGCTGCGTGTTGTGGCTAAGTTTCAGCAAATGGCGGCATATGTGGTTGGGGTCATTCAGTATCTGATAAGCTAATATGAGATCACCGCGCAGCCTTTGATAGCGTCCGCTGAAAATTCCCAGCAATTTCAGCCTTCGGTGGTAAGAGAGATAGTGCAGGCCCTTTACATTCTTTGTTGCTCTCCGTTGTGGTGCCTCTATCGCTTCTAGGTCGCGCTTCAACCAAGGTTGCCAAGCTTGGATAGCGTATTCAAAATGCCAACGCACGTAGCAACTGTGCATCATTGAGAAGATTGGTGGGTCAAATCTCCCGAATGCCCTTCGCAGCATGCCGACGTGCTGGTTGCATCTTTTCGCAGCTACCTCAGCCTGTTTTGAACAGTTAAGGTCGCTGTGTACGAGCACACCAAGTTCACGTTCCCAGGAGCTGGTCTGCAATCCGTTTGTCCCAAGTGAATAGGTGTAATAGTGTCTATGGCGTAATTGTACAACGCGACATTTGTCTACGTTGAACGGTAAGGCGTTTTGAACTGACCAGTTCAACACTGTGTTAAGATCGCAATGGAGCCTTTCGTGGTCGTCCGGTCCTGTGATCCTTCGTCATATCTTGATATCATCAGCGAAAAATAGGAAATCGGAAGCAATTGATCGCGCCAAACCGTTAATGAACACCAAGAATAGTGGAGGTCCAAGAACCGAGCCTTGTGCTACTCCACTCGCCACATCGATTGCATCAGACAATGATTCTCGGACTCTCATCACTAGCTGCCTTTCCTGCAGAAAATTGCTACTCCAACTCAGGATTGGGTAGCCATGCCGTAGTTCCGAAGCTTCTGAAGGAGAATTCGATGGTCTAAGAGATCAAACGCTTTTGAAAAGTTCAGGTAGATGACATAGACTTCTACTCCATCATCAACGGCTTCAGTCCAGCTATTACGTGCAATTAATAGGTTAGTTTTACACGAATGCTTTTGACGAAAGCCATGTTGCTGTGGAGCTATTAAGTTGTGGCTTTCCAGATACTGCATCAGCGCATCTGCCATGATTGATTCCATCACTTTGGGTAGTACGGGAAGTAGTGTTATTGGACGGTAGTTGGCAGGATCAGTGCGGCTACCTCCTTTATGGATAGGAGTGATGACCCCTCGCTTCTATACTGGGGGAATACGGTTCTCTTCTAAACATCGCTGATAGAAAACAATCAGTGGTTCGGCTAGACTACTAGCAACCGCCTGCAGAGCCTTTGGTCGGATGTTGCCGGCTTCGGGAGAACTGTGGATACGCAAGGATAACAACTGCTTCAACATAGCTTCCGCAGTGAAGGTGATATTGTCTAAACCCGACGGTGGAGTAGTAGAAAT